CAGCCCAACCCAACCCTCTCTCGCTCTCTCGCTCTCCCGCTCTTGCTCTTAGAAGTGCGACCACAAGGGAACGAAAAGCTTTCGAAAGGTCCAGAAAACAGGAAACGAAAACAACACAATCTCCGGACATTTCCGTTATCACGGTATTTGAACACGCGCGTCGCATCGGTTCAGATACAGACAGAAAACTAACGGGAGGCAGGCGACAGACAGCACAGTGACACCGGGGAGCCCCGGACGTCTCCGCGTCCACACTGTTAGCCAAGCCCGGATTTCCGCCCGCTCACAACGACTCCCTTCTATCCCAACATCGACACCGCAGCTTTCAGCGCGGTCCCGGCTCAGCTTCTTCGACAGATCCCAAACTCCGCAGATCAAGCGACTGAAATCTCTCTAGCTTCCAAAGACCGAAAGACAAGCAAACTGAAAAGGCACCCATTTCCCTAAACCAAACCTAATCGTCCTAACAGAAAAGATAAAGAATTCAGTCTGAGGTCAGTTCAGCCGGCTTGGGAAATAATGTCTAATTATAAAATAAAACAACGGGATTCCAAAGGATAAACACTGCTACAGGCGAAATGCATTGGTTTTTTTTTTCTTTATTCTCCCGAGTATTTTGTCAAATAGAAGCCACTTGTAGAATCCGCTAAACATTCTTCTGCATTGGAAATGTTGCATATTAAACACGCATACACACCCACCACACACACGGAAAGACTTACTCTTGGAATGATCCCCCATAGCACCCAGAAAAGGATAGTGAAAAATAATATCCACCATGCAGAGAGAGATGTACGCAAAGCGTGCGGCCGGGGGCAGAAGGACCAGGGTCGCGCGCCCAGCCTCTGCTCTTAGCTAACTAACTCCTGCCCCGCGGAGTTGAAGGGGCGATTCCGCACCGGTCCGCACGCAGCATGACGTCAGCACGCACTCGCCCGGGGCCCGAGCTGGAGGCGGGACCTGTAGCGTCACCCAGCTCCCCCACCGCCGCGGGGAATGCGGGGGAGGTGGTGGGGACCCGGAGGGTGGGCTCGGGTAGAGACGGAGGCGCCGGGAGATTGGCTGCGAGGAAGTGGGCAAGCTCTGATTGGCTGGGAGTGAACAATGGAGCGCAGCCCCCTCCCCGAAACCCTCCAGGATCGACTCTGCGGCCCCGGGTCCCGCAATCCCTGGGAAGCCGCATCTCCACCCCGCGGGCTCTGCCGCAGCGCCGCGCTTCCTGTGGACTTGCGGGGCGGTTGGCCCAGTCGCTGTCTGGCAGGGTGATGGGTACCTGGGCATAGAAGGGAGTCCTCATCCCTTAAAAGTGCTTTTCGTTTATAATTTTTAAACTAAGAGTTTCTCCTGGGGACGACACAACTAAGGGAGAAAAGGGGATCCGTTGGGTCGCGACCATCACTGGTCCAGCGGGCCACCTTTCTCCCTGCGCGCCTGAGCCTTTCTTTGTTCGGCGACGTCCAGGTTAGAGAGAACGGATAGGAAATGACCACCTGGGTTTGGATAAACTCTATTCGGACTTTCCCACCCGCGCCGCCCGTAGAAAACTCGATGTTGCAGGTGGGTAAAGCCGGAAGGAATCCAGAGGCTCTAGCCAAGGTCCTGCTTCCACCCTTGCGGCGGCTCTTTCTCCTCCCTCATCTCTTTCTCGACTTTTTGGTTAAGTTGACGCCGACTCCCACCCCCTCCTTTCTCCACTCCGCTACTTGGCTCCTTCTAAGAACACTGTTGTGGATGTGTTACACTTCCAGAATAAACGATTTTCACGAACTTTAATTTTGGATTTCACAAACCAATTACAATGCAAATAATCAGAAACAAATGTGGGGCGAGGGGTAATTTGCCGTCTACCCGATGGCTTTTTAATCCTTAGGAAATCTGCAACTTCTAAAGAGTCGGGGCTTTTTTTTTTCCTTCACATAAATCGCGTGAGTTTTGTTTGAAAGGGTTGAAAGACAAATCGATGAGTTATAAATCGATGGTCTGTAAGTTCTCCACCCTCACCCCCCCCCATTTTAAAAGGACACCAATAACTTGATCCCTGTCTAGGTGGGGAACGGGTGGGCTCCTGGGATATCGAGTCTCCACCCAAACCTATATCCAGACTCGGCTCTCCGCAGGCCTCTGGGCCTGAGAGCGAATTCGGGCGTGGCGGTGCAACTGCTAATAGCCTTAGGCTGTTGGACTGGGAAACGGGTGCAGCCATCAGCACAGGGAGAGGCCCTGGATGCACAAAAATCGCTCCGGAAACAGTCCTCTGGCACCTCGCTCCACAGCCGGGTTCCTGGGGCTTTTGACCCCCCCCCACCTCCACCTATGGTACTCTCACTGGACCCAGTGTTTCAAACCCCTGACAACAGGCCGACCCCTCCCCCACCTCTCTTACTAGCGCCCCAGCAGCTCACAGTCTCCGAGCTAAATTTGCTAGTAAGCCACAAATCACAAGGGAAGTAAGGAGCCCTGAATCTTTGCACTGGCCTCTGAGCTGAGCCCTGTGTGGCTTCGGGTATTTGACTCTCTTTCCCTCACTTTTCCTCATCTGTAAAATGGGATGGATGTACTTAGAACATCTTTGCTTTGAAAAAATTAAACTCGTTTCAGGAAAAGCCTTAAAATAATACCTGATGCATAGTAGTTGCTCAGTGTGTAGTAACTATGGTAACCGTAATGGCTCTATCTGTGTTGGAAGTCTATAGAACCAAGCATGCCTTTCCTAGAAAGGTGACTGTGTGGGCTTTGCTGGAAGGGGTGTCTAAGCACATCTCTGCCTATTGCACAATCATTTGTTTGTGAATTCGATGTGTGTTTGCTTTGTGTGCCTTCCCTGTGGATGGGAGGGCAATCCTGCCCTAGGTGTGGACTTTGTTTATTGGTGATGTCTGTGAGTGGGCTCTGCACTATTCCTGCTGTGTGGGAAACTCCAGGTGCACCAGGACATTGTCCTCTCACCCTCCACCCCAAGACAGTCCTGTGTCATGCCTGGCTCCCATTACCCCTCAGATCCCACAAACCTGAGTACTAGCTGTCAGAAGGGAAGCAGATCTCAGCAGGATTCCTGCCTATAGAAACTCTCCCTTCCTAGTAAGAAACCCAGTCTCTGGAGACTATACTAAGAGAACTTCATTTCTCTGAAAAGCTGTTTTCCAGATCCCTCAGTGTGGGTCTCCTGGGTCACAGGAGTCCAGTGCTGGCATGAAAAACACATGGGTGTCTTTTGTCCTGCCTGCTTCCCTGCCCCTTGACAACACCCAAGTTCCCCTTCCAGAGGAATAGAGTCATCTTCTCTCCACATCCCTGGCTGTGGTACCCAAGAGACCTTTCTCCTCCTTTCTTGTCCTTGTTGGGAGCAGTGTTGAGAGCCCTAGCACCAGCTTTGACAGGGGAAGATGTAAGGACTACAGGGGAAGTCCCTGAATTCGTCCCTATTCTATCATTGATACTTAACAGGGCTCACAGTGGGCCAAGCTGCAGAGGTCCCGGAGAAAGCAGGTGGCTCCACTCTATGGTGACAACAGCCCCACTTGTGAAAACAAGCTTTGCCTGAAAGAATGAGCAGCAGGTCCTCAGCCTGTGGCCAGGGCTTGGGAGTGACCTACATAGGCCAGAGGATGGAAAACAAATTGGCTTTTATTTGTTTTGTTGTTTGTTTGTTTTTTGCTTAGTCAATCTTTCCATCCTTTCTACTCTCCCTGTTTCTTTCCTGCTGGAATCAGGAGGCAGAGCACAATTTGGGAGACTCTCCTGGGCCTTTGTTTGACCAGGAGCCATCATGCTCCCCATGACTGACAGGCCTGAGGCAGCATACACAGATCCCAGCTCAGGGACACTGAGAGCCTGTGCCAGCCTGCACTTGCACAGTTATGCAAACACACAGCTTCCTTTCCACATCGCCTTACCCCTTCCTGTTCTTACCCCTTCCTTTTCCATAGATTCACAGATGTAAAAAGAAATTCTGGCCATGGCAAAACCATCATCATGGCCAATATATAAGAGTCTCAGGATCGTGTATTTCAACACGTCTCACAGAAACTCTACGAATGAGTTACTGTGGTACAGTTATCCCTACATCACAGCTGAAAGACAATGGTGTGAAAAGGCTAAGTAATTCGTACCAGATTATGAGATCAACAGAGAAGCAGTATTTGAACCAGGCTCTTGGTGTCCAGTGTCTGCTTGTAGATCCTGTGATGCTTATTACCCCCAGTCACTCACAGAGGAAGCTGCTGGTAGTGGAAGGAGCCTGGATCCACATTCTGGATATATTTCTGTCACTATACCAAAATAGTTGACAACAAAAAAGTTAAAGAAAGGTTTATAACTGATAATTCAGTGTTTTCTGTCCCTGCTTAGCCCCATTGCTCTGAGGCTGTGGTTAGGCAGAGTGTCATGGCAGAGGGGACAAGTTGCTTACTTCGTGGCAGGATCCCGGAGGAAGGGGCAGACCCAGGACAAGATGCCTTTCATAGACACCTGGAGTGGCCTATGTCATTCATCCAGGCCCACTTCCTAATAGCCCACCAACTATAATGTTATCAATGGATTTACCTATTGCTTAGGTCAAAGAGCCCCAGGATCCAGCACCTACCTCAGTTCCACCAGCAAGATCAGAACCTTCAATGCATGAGCTCTGAGAAATTTTAAATCTACACTTAATAGTGTTAAAAATGAAGCGAAGGTTTGTAAACAACAGCGCTGGAGCTGAAAGCCAGGTTGCCTAACCCAGGCCAGGGAGTACCTGCCTGAGGATGCCATTCTGCCCTGGTCCAGGTCTAAGACCACCAAACACCTCTCAGGCAGCTACACAGGGACACCAGGCTTCTCCTCTTGCTCCTGCCCCACCACTCCAAATCCATTTTCACAGACATTTCTTTTTCTCCAAACACTGTTGGAGGTGTCAGCATTCCTGACTTTACTACCATAGGCATCTGGAGGTGGAGACCGGGGCACCATGCCTCAGTAAAACAACTAAGACCTGGGGAAAAGAAGCAACTTGACAAATCACAATGAGGCATTGGCCCCCTGATACTGATAGCCTCCTCCTTCTACTATGCCTGTCTTTCCTGCCCCTGTGAACAGAGAGGTGCCTATTGGCTAGCCTGTGTCCCCTTAATGTTTCCTGAGCACGGGCTGTAGAATGGACCCTGGGTAAGACCCTATTTAAAGCCCCCAGACACCTCCTAAACAGGGTTAGACACATAGTTTGCAGATCCTACTAAAATGAGATTGCTGGGCTTCCTGCTCAAATATCACTAAGAATCTCAAGACCCTGATGACAGAGTGTAAAGCTCTTGCAACCGTGCAGGCTGAGGTCCCACAAAGCCAGCTCAGCCTTGCAGCACCGGGGCAGGTTCTATTATCATCTTTAAGCAGCTCAAAATCAATAACCATAAGCCAATACAATTAGAGAGAGAGAGAGAGAGAGGACTGAGACTCAAGCCCACTTCAGGCCATGAGATGAGTCATGAACTTGTGGTCTGTCCAGATGGAAATGTTATTGTATTGTTTGTTACTTTGTTTATAGTGGACAGACATGGGATAAAACCCTTCCATATTTAAACAAACAAGCAATCCCACAGTCTATAGCACTCTTGTCTTTGGGACAGTCACTGTGAGAGGATGGAGGTGAGAAGTGGCTAACAAAATCACCACTGGGTCACTGTAGAAGATAGATGAACTCTTTTGTTAAACACACACACACACACACACACACACACACACACACACACACACACGAGAACATCTGATTCACTCTAAATCACACCCTCAAAGGCAGCTGGAGGAAT